CTAGTGAATGGTACTGCAAATTTGCAAAACATACACATTACACATATTTAAGAAACATGATTTCGTATTTTGTTTCTCATCATGTTTTCTAAAGCAAAATACAAAGTAAACTGTAGATTGATTCTTTCTGTGTAAAGTCTGTAAAACTGTGACTGTAGGACGTGTCCCTTCATGGTTTTTTTGTTGAATGTTAAATCTTTTCACCACAATACAAAGTAAAAGTAAAGCCTAGCTTTCTTTTGTTTTAGCTATTTTGCACTTTAAAGGTCTGAGAACTAAAATATAAACTACACTTTAAGTTTTATTATTATTATTATTAATATTATTATTATTATTATTATTATTATTATTTAACCTCCTAAGATCCGAACTCTTCCATGGCATGCATTTTTAATTTCTCTTTGATATTTGGGCATATTGGGACCTGATGAATGTAAAAACAAAGAATTACCAGATTATTTTTTTTACCCAATTTTTGTTTCTAAGAAAAATGAGATACATATGAGGATATTCATTTAAAATTGTGATAGAACAGTTGCAGTATAATGTCCTTGAAAGTGGATATCAGGCCCTTGTAGAGCAAGATTTAATATTTTGGTCTAATTAACCCAAAATGTGATGTCCACATATGTGGACGCCAGGTCCTAGGAGGTTAATTGTAATTTTTTTTCTTATTATTCCATAACAGTGTGCGATAAAAGGTAATTACAGACTTTATGCCTGTGGTAGGACTTGACTTAAGCGGTCAAAGAAGTGCAGGAGACTGATGCTGTCCAGTATAGCAAGTGATTTATTCACCATTTTGTGACCCAAACAATATTTACAAATAAACAAAATAAATATAACTGAACTGAAATCAACAGAAATTAAGGTCAAACTGCACACAGCTACACTGACCTGAACTTTTTTCTTGAAACACCTGAGTTCTGCTTAAATAGTCCACTTAACCAAACACTTTCTCTTCTGGACTATTCCATTCAGTAGGTAAGATGAACATGATTATATTCAAACCTCTACTACTCCTCTTTGCTGGCAACATAAACTCTGTGGTGTAATCAATACATATTACAACAATAAATCTATTTCTTCATAAACCCTCTAAAATCAACTTTATTAAATTATAAGAGTTCTT